TAACAAAGCTTCTGTGTGGCTTCTGGTACTCCTTCGTGATCTAACACCTTGATGCTCACAAAGGGTTTGCTGAGACACAGAATCTATGACAAAGTTGCACCTTTGGCCATCCAGCTTTCCTGTCACATAGACACTGTGTGTGCTTGCCATTTTACACCTAGCTGTAGGGACTTTCATGATGGGGGTTGGTGAGTGTCCTTCAAAACCAACCACTACTGGTCTCCTTGAGGGCTGACTTGTTGGTGATATTCTTCCTACACTGGCTCCTCAAATGTTTGTGCTTTCCACAGTTCCAACAACCTTTCTGGATACCAACCTTTCCTGCTGTGCCATCTACCCTGTGTTGAAGTTGCCAACATTGAGCTCTCCTGTGCCCAGATTTGTTACAGTGCCAGCAAAGTCCCTCAAACCTCTCTGAAAGCTGACCTTTTCTGGCCTTGAATCCGGATAACTGTACCAACCTTGGTACCTCTGTGCTGGACTTAACGTAGGATTCAAATTCGAGATCTCTGGCCATTGCATCCTGCATAGTAGAGGGGTGTGCTTGCTTCACACGTATCTTTAGTTGTGGACTGTCCAAGGCGTCTACAAACTGATCTCTCAGCAACAACTTGAGGAGATCGGGTGGTGCAGTTGGGTAAGCCTTGTGTGCCATACTTTCCAAGTCTGTAGACTTCAGACTGGTTTTGTGTTCTGTACCTGAGTTCTAGAGCCGCCACCAGTGCTCTATAGTTGTGCCTGTCGTCTGCTGACAACTGTCCAAGTATTTCCAGTGGTTGTCCTTTCAAGCTCGTTGCCAGATATACTGCTTTCAGTCCACCCATTCATCTCTGCCAGTAGCTCAAATTGTGCTTTATATGCTTCCCACGGTGCTTTCCCATCGAATTCCTGTGGCTTCCTTCGTACTGGATCACCCCTATTGCTGACATTCATATCTGGAATGTGACTTCTAACAGGACTGAAGATGTCTGCATTAGGATTTAGCTGCAGTGTCTGGAAGGGGTTTGTCATTGTCTGGGGCTGGTTAAGTCGATGGTTAATGTATCCTCCTTGTGTAAAAGACAATAGATCATCCTTTAATGCATCTAATTCGCTTTCAAATTTACTAATGTTTTCCATTTGTACTTCTTGCCACTGTTGTTGACTTTCCTGTAGTTGCTGCTGACTTTCTTCCTGTTTCCTATCTTGTTCCAGTTTCCACTGCTGTAATCTCTCTTCTTGTTTATTTTGCTGTTCGAGCTGCCACTGTTGCAGGTTTTCTTGCCACTGCTGTTGTCTCTCTTCTTGTTTCTTTTCTTTTTCCTCCAACCACTGTTGTAATTTCTCTTCTCGTTCTTCTTGTTTCTTTTGCTGCTCTTGTATTGCTGCCATCAAGTCTGCTAGGCTGTAGTTTGATTTGCCGCTTCTCATTTCCATTTTTTTATCCCACTCCTGACACCAATATGTTACGTCTCTGTATGTTTGTTTGTTAATTATTCTAAGATACAAGTCCTTTCTTTATAAACCTTGTTTATTCTTAGTCAATAC